TCACCCTCCGACCTGGGGATGGTAAGGAGAACACGCTGCGTCGGATCGCCGAAGTAATAACGCGACAGCTGATATCCAACACGCCTTCGTCGCGACACGCGCTCATCAAGCGCTTGGTCCGCGACGCGCTGCTGAGCGACAGCGAGGGCAACTACTACTCGATCGCAGCTACCGAGAAGAGGTTGCGCCACCTCGACTACGAAGACTGCTGCGCGCGTGATCACTACACGAGTCGCAGCTACGGCAAACGCTTTCACCCCTACGTCCTTTACAGGTTCATCCTGTTCTTGCAGACGCGCAGCGAATTGTTGCGCTCTAAGATTGAGCAGACGGCATCCTGCGCCGTGTGCAAGGAGCGCGCCGCGCGCCGCGCCGAGGAAGGCGGCGTCCCCGTCATCTGGCGGCAAGCGGAGCCGTGCCGCCATTGGACTTGCGATACGTGTACCCGCGACCTCGCCGCCCGCGGCATGGCCAACCACTGCAGCTTGTGCCGGGCAAGGGTGATCTCCTACCCGCTCGGCGTTGCGCCCGGCGCCAACCAGAGCTGACGCTCCATCTAGGGCGGGGCCGGTGCGCGTCGGTGCACCCGGCTCCGCGTGCTGAGCGACCGTCTAGCAGTGTCGTGTGTGGTACCGCGAGCGACGCATAGTCGTGTGTATGTCTCGCTCTCCCTCTCGGCGGTGGCCGGTGCGTCGAGCGTGACGGGGATGAGATACGAATCTCTCGATCGCCCGAGGTAAGGTAATTTTTCAACGTGGTGGGGGAGGGCCGGGGCAACCCGCGCAACTCCACACCCACACCCAGACCCACGCGCGCCTTGAATCACTATAGTATCATGCTAATTGCTATTACTAATCGCGGTGTTGTCTTCCGCCTGGTCGTCTAGGCTCTAGCATGGTAGGGCAACGGCTTGAGTGAGCGCTCATCTCGGTTCTCGCTCGCTCTCTCGAACCACGGCTCTCGATGTATGTCTCTATCATCCGTGTAGTGTCTCTCTCGCGTCTCGGCACGGCCTCTCCAACCTCTCGCGGGCTCAGCTATCCGTGAGTCTCGCTCTCTAAGGGTGTGGACGAGTATCTCGAATCTCGCGCGCTCTCTACGTGCGCACAAACAAACTGTGTCCCGCCGAGGAGGCGCCTCACGCCAGTCGATGGCCGGCCGGCAAACGCTCTGCTCGGCACCGCCATCGGGAGATGGCGGGCGGCCGGGGGAAACG